ATTGTTTACCGGTCGTTTACAATGCCAGCCGAGCCGGCCGAGCCAGCCGGAGCCGAACGCTTCTGGCGATGTCGATACGCGCCTACCATACATATGCATTTGTGTACCTTTCTTTCGGCCCGGCCGTTTTCCGCCTCATTTGTAATTTCGCTCCGGCGTTCGACGTCGCGTGCGCCTTCCGTCTCTCTGCCTCGCGTTACGTTATACCCGCCGCGCGCGTTCCTCGGATAGTTGAATATAGTGTCTTATATGTCCCGTTGGTATGCCCTGTGTTCGCGATTCCTCGCGCATCCGCGTCGACTCTCTCCGGAGAGTTGATTCTGTTTTTCTCATTTTCTTCCCCTCTCCCTCTTCCTCGTAGTCGAACGACGTGCCGGTGTTCTCTACTTCTCGGTGTACCACGTACCACGGAAAAGATATTGTAGTAAAAATTGTATTAAATTTTTATCACGAAATTATGACGTGTGTTTTGATCTTTAGTGGTGTACTTCATGCGTACACATCAATAGAGATTACGATATACATAATCATTTCAGTCATAAAATTCCGGTATGTGGAAGCATTGTGGAATTTTGTGGTAATTTTTACTACAATATTCCCTCCATGTAGGGCAGAGCACATATACCTCCCCGGCGGTGTTTTGCATTATCGCGTCTCTGTATTTTGATATACGTCGTGCTACAAAATATCGCGTTATTAGATTTTATCCGTACGCCGATGTCCTTCGCGTACCCCGTACGGGCCGGCGACTCGGGCACGATACGAACCGAATTAATAATGCAACGATTAACAATTCAACCGACTTAACAACTTCAACCGGGCTGATTATTCGCGAGGTATACTTTAGATCTAAGCACCAGGCGAGTTACCGCTCGCGTGAGAGCTTAGATAGTGCTCCATTGTAAATATTAAATACAAAGTGCGTGTTGATAAATTAATGGTTGTTTGAACAATAAATATTTTTAAATACAATTTACCCGAGGCTTCGAAGGCTCTTTTTTGCTTTTTAATTTAATGTTATTAAATTTTATTATTAAATTTTATTAGATATACTATTATATGTATATATACTCTCATACATATATATTCCGCTCGGATTTTCATTCTCTCACTAATATAACTCATTGGCAGATCGAAAGGATTTCTATTTCTCGTTGGTGAATATAACAACAGGCTCGTTCGTCTCATTAAAGTGATCACTAAAAAATAAAAATGTTTATCTAATATTGTCGTCGTCGAGTTATGCTGTTTAAAAATAAAAATCCCTTCGATCCATTCTTGAACAGTGCGGTTTAAAAATAAAATAGACTTTTCTAATCCGGATTATTGAAATCGCACGATTTTTAAATACGTTGCCAGAAATGATCAAATCTACTGTTGTGTAATATTACTTAAAAAATAAAATCTGGCTGAGTCTGTCGTTGAGTCGTACTACGAAATTCACGTTAAAGACTGTGGCGGCTCGTAGCGGTAATTTTGGAACTAATAAAAATAACAGGTCTAATTATAATGGGTCAAAATGGTAAGAAATTGGCTCAGCCAAGATTCGAACCTTGCTCAGCTGAGACTCAAACCGCATACCTGTCGGGTTTTAACACAGACCATTAGATGGTACGAAGTAGCCGTTAGTCGCATTTCAACCGATTATATCTGTAAATTGACTCTATTTTTATAAACGTTTTCCTTGATTTTTATTCAATTCTACATCCCCAAGTTGCTAAATAAACTCAGTTTCTAACGAACTTTTATATATATTTATAAAACCGTGTTTAGTGAGACGGCTTATTCCAAACTGTAGTTCGGAAATCACCGCTACGAGTCGCTACCGTCTTTAATAGAAACATTTCATAATACATTTGAATTCGATTTTGACAAAAAATTAAAATAAATCGGCAAATAAAAATATGAATTTTATGATGAAACGATATCTTAACGATGATCATAATCTTATGTTGTCTAAAGCACGATCGAATCTGAAGCAGCACTCGCGACAACGTGATAAGAACACCGGCACACATACGTCTAGATAACTTTTATTAACCAATATAATCGTATATTGTTACAAATGATGCGGCGACGACGCGCCGATGCAACTCGGGTTACAATGAAACTGGTTTCGTTTAACGGTATACAATGAAAATAGGAATCGATGAATGAGCGAATCATGAATTTACAGACGTATTCGTCACTACTCGACATTCGAAGAACTGCTTACACCACAACATGTAATTTATACTTTTACGTTTTTTTTTCTTTTATTTTTTCGTGTACTCTGTCTGTCATTATCGCCTGTCTCGACGAAAACATTAACTTCTTCCGTTCTGCCTGTCCCATTGTCCTCGCTTCCTCTTCGAAATAGCGTGTCTCAGGTGGATCCGTGAGTGATGTCATTTGTGCGCGCGTGTTCATGTATGTGTGTGTATGTATATGTCTCTCTCTCTCTCTCCCTCTCTATGTATGTCCCATGTGGTTTATACGTGTACAAATTGTAATTATACTCGAAGACATCGAAAACTCACTACGTTATGTTAAATAACAATGCGTCGCGGATTTGCTTCCGGCGCGCATACACATGTAAATTCTCGCCTCCCTCTCTCTTTTCCCTGCGTCTCTTTCTCGCAGCTCGCAACTCGGGATACTATACAAAGTTATTACCAACGTACCGTCGTCTCGGGAAGCAAATGCAGTGAAAAACGTAATACATCAGAACCATCGTGACGATTGCAGAAAGAAAAGAGAGAACGAATTTCACCGATTGCAAACGATCGGATGCCGCGTTTGTAGTTGAATCATTTATCGGAACAGGAGCTTATAAAATCGCAAACAATACGTGCAATAAATACTGATAACGCGAACCAAACTCTGAGTTAACGAGTGGAACAAGTCGGACGTTCGCGATGAAAATCTGCGCAAATAAATTCGCGGCATCCGCGCGCGATTTCTCAAGCGCAGCACAGAAATGTAAGACGAGTGAACGAGTAAATAAATAAATACGAATACGCGTCTGCGATCGGGTCGGGCGAGTTTCCGTTCACGTCTAATCCGTTGGCGTTCTCGCAAATCCGTGACTCACTGGTTAGGCTTACGGCTACTATCGAGATATTGATGTACATATACAAGAATCGTGGTTTCTCTCCTTATACAACACGGATAGAGTATACAAAGACGTTGTTTGCCGAAGAAAAACGGTATCTCATTGTCTCGTTCTTTTTCCGTTCCGTCTATCTTACGATAGAGCTCTCGCTCGCTCGTTCGTTCGTTCGCTCTTCCTCTCATCTTCTCATTCTCTCACATCACGCACACATATATTGGAACTACGCACACGTCTCGCACATTCGTTAAACATGGAGAAGGGCCTCTGCTTTACATATTATTTCTCGTTTCTCTGTTTCTCGTGGGAAATCGATAAAGAATTATTGATTCTCTTTCTGCGTTTACACGTGTGCGTCCTTCCGTCCACCACATCTCTCCAAATCACCTTCTATCGTTCGTGTCGGTTTTGTTGGTCCGGTGTGGCAGTGCCTTGTTAATAAACTTAACCCTCGCGAGATGACCTCTTCCTACTAAGTAGTCGTCGTGATTTTGCCGCATTTTTTGTCACGTCTAATCGCACAGAGTGTCGGTGAAAAGATCTCACGGGACTGTCGCGAGAGTCTAATCGCTCTGTTTGCGATCACGCGAACTCTGCTCTCGTGATTGCAACGATTTTCATCTCTAACGTGACATTGAAATCAACAGCAAAATTTACTGATTTTTGCGTTCGCAAACTGATCCACCTGCTTGCCGACGGTCGGATGACTGTAAGCTTGCTTTGCATACTTTATACGTGCATTTGCACGGTATTGAAAAAATCAATCCATACACTGAGAGAAAAGAATGATCAACGTCACAAAAATTATAATTATTATTTCAGCGCTAATTCTTCTCGTTTTAACGAAAGAGCAGCAATACGTAAGTAAGATTATTATCACTAACGCTATAACATTTATTCCGAGAATGGTTCTTCTGATACTAATACTTTCACTATGCGATTGTAGTTGCAAATGTCAAATATATTTTTCTCAGTGTACATTCGAAGATGTCATAGTGCCTCGATGATGAGATAACGGATAAGAAATTCAAAATTTTCGTGATGCTCGTTTCACTGATACTCTGCTGAACAATAGTTTACTGACGAAGGATGATTATTTACATGTCGCACGCAATACTCCATCCACGGTTGCGCACATCGAAATTAATACAAGTCTCCCTGTAATATATATACGTATATATTACTCTCTCTCTCTCTCTCTCTCTCTCATATATATACATATATAAATATATATATGCATATATGTGTATATACGTACATTTCTATATTTATATCTATATATATCTATATTGTGTTATTTACTATTTGATAATGTTCTCCTTGGATTATAATTATATATAATCGATTGTTAACAGTTGCATCTGTAAGCTTTCGATGCAACAACATTTCTTCTTTTCTCTCTCTTTCTCTTTCTCTCTCTCTCTCTCTCTCTCTCTCTTTCTCTGTTTCGTTCCACGCGCGTAACTCTTTTCTCTTACTTTGCGTATTATTCCTAGTAATTAAAATATGTAGACTCGAAAGCTAAGTACGTCAATAGAGATATAATTGCGACTTTCGTCAGGTTGTCGGGTGTGTGTTTTATGTATATTACTGTGTTCTTCCCCCTTAGCGGGAGAATTCTATTTAATAAAATTTACAATGAAAGTCGATAAATTTTATTGAATAAAATTCGATGTGCTGCGCCCTGAAGAAGAGGGAGTATCTTCACGGGTATTTTCGTGGAGGGATTCACAAAGTATATTCTCTATACGATGAACATTTTCCTCAATGATCTACATACGTTATCGATAGCGAAGTAAATGCTAAAGAGCGATATCTCTTCGAGGAAAAGGCTTAAACACTAATCAATAATGATAGTAATAATTATCTTTTATATTCCATGTCTGGTGTGCTAGCTCCTCTTTTTCTCTCTCTCTCTCTCTCTCTCTCTTTCTCTCTGCCTCTCTCTGTGTCCACGTGTACTTTATTGTTACCATTGTCTTTCCCTTTCCACCGTACCCCCGAATATTCTCTTAACTCTTTCAGGGGCCGAGGAGGTCAGCGTATTTTCAGCGCAGGACCTCCTGAAGAGAAGCTGTACCAGGGCGAAACTTAGGCACTGTAGTTCACAAATTAAACCACATCGCACCAACATAGAAACGCACGCAGGAAATGGCAGCAGCCATTTGTGGTACAACATCGTAAATCGCAAATCACGCAAATCCGATCCGGTGAGGTTGCACGTTTCGAAGCTGCACCATCGCCCCCTCAAAGAATTAAGCTGTTCGCAACGGAAAACCTCGCGCAAGCCGGGCGACGTGGCCGTACAGTAGCGTCGGATGTAATTGAAAAGACGAGCACGTACGAATTGTTTTCCGTTGGAAACGAGCCTTTACCGACGCGAACTCATCGCCGGCTTCGCCATTCCGCGTATATATACGCCTCGGTACACGCGATCATAGCCGCATAAATTTCCGTTCACGATCGCGAGTACACTTGGTTTCAATACGGTTTCGAAGACTTTTCTTTACCGATGCAGTTCGCAGCCGATGTCCAATGACAGAAGTTATTTCCTGAAAATTATTCGAACACGAATTCTCCCATTCTCTCACATCAGTTGAACTGCGTCGAAAAACCCAGATTACTCAGAAAGTCTTAAAAGATATGAAAATCTACACATGTATTAAATTATCTTTCACTTTTCATTTTCAATTCATACAACACTGTCGGCAAGATTGTAACGCACAGTACTGTGAATAAATGTTCGCCGTGAGAACCCACGAGGAAAAGAGAAGTCTGGTCATGCGATCACAGCTATCATATTTATGCAACGTCAACATGAAATCAATTTCTTCTCTTTCTAATAAATTGATTCCTGAAAAAGTTAAAGCGTCTTTTGGGAGTTTCTGTTACCTGGGAGGCTAACGGAAACCGCGTTGAAACCGAGTGCACACTCCTGCGAGTGTACAGCATTCGGAATTCCCGGCGAAACGAAAATACATTCTACTTCTCAATAGACAATCGTTCGTGTTCGCATTCGTGAACGCGGTATTCCGCCTCGTTGATCCTCAGCAGATCGATAGCTGAGGGCTGCTCGCGATAGACGCGAGTCTTCTACGGCGTGTGCGTTCAAAGAGCGCGAACGTGTAAAAAGTGTAAGGGTAAAAGGATTCGAAAAGAGTCGAGAAACAATTTTTGTACTCTGCGGCACGCAGCGAGAAACGACGACGGAGATCTCTCGAACGCGCGAAAATGTGTGTCCGAACGGTGTGCCGCGAAATTATACACATATATATACTGTATACATATATATATATATTACTTATATTTATATTTCGGATTGAGTCTCCAGAGAGATTCGTTTAACTGTACTTCGATCGCGAAGCGCGCCGCTCTCCTGTGACCGTTTCGTTCGTTTTAGTCGCGGTTGACTGCACGTATCGCGCGCACCTGGTACCGATCTATGATAATAAAAAAAAAGAGATGTTTCATTGTGTGACTCAAGTCCTCATCACACGATGCTTGTTCTGTTGTTAACTCGCATGCGAGCCACCATACTAGTTAACACGTTGGCTAGCATGCCGGCTACAAAATTCGAAATCACTAGAAATATGCCATCGTGCGTGCTGACGTGAGTGTTGGCTGAATGTTGGTTTTCGAGGATCAAGTGCGGCGTCACACGGTATTTACATCGCGTTAACTCGCGTGTTAATTAGCGTGCCAGTTAGCGTGCTAGCTCTTATGCGAGTTAACGTGAAAACCAAGCATCGTGCGACGCGGGCTTTGATCGTAAGAATTATCCCGACGAATTGTATATCACGACGGAGATACGAAGTCGCCGTCATTCGACGCGACTCGAGCTCCAGTTCTGGGCCGATTAATGTCTCGTGAGATATACCAGAGAGTGCGAAACCAAAGGCGGTGAAAAACTTAGAGGCTAATCTCGTCTCTACTATCGATAATATCGACGACACTTATAAAAATACGAAATATCCAGTCAAACATCGTGAACGTACGAATTGTAAAAAAGAAGATTCGTCGCCGATGCCGACCGAGGTCTCCGCAAAAAGCATATCACAGCGATCCGATATATCCGTAATGAGCGAAATACAAGAAAACGCCGAATAATTTTCTTCCTTTTCCCTTTTTTTTTTCTCTTTCTTTCGACAATGCAAATATTCCCGCGAGTGAACCGAATTGCCTACGATGCTCGTGATGCACGAGGGGGAGGGGCGGGGGGAGGGGGGGCGAAGGTACATATATATATATTATATAATGTATACATATAAAAGTAGAAAATTTGGCGGCAGTATATAGAGATCGTGTGTGTTGAGAAATGTGAGAGACGCGGTGAAAGGAAATGCGATTTCGTGAAAACGCTAATAACTCTGCTTGCTTTGTGCTTCGTTTGCGCCGAAATCGGCGAGAAAGCCTCCCCGATCGATCAAATTATTTCACGGGGTCGTCGATCGTCCAGACGTCATTGGTCCGTAACCTCTCTCTCTCTCTCTCTCTCTTCGCGCCGACCTTACTGACCAACGCTATAACGCAGTGCAAAACGAAATGAAGAACAAGAGGGATAAGATGAATAAAACGCAGAAGAAGGGAGGAAATGTAGTGTACTACGCGCGAAATGAAGTGAACAAGTGGAGGAGGAAAGAAAATAAGGGAAAGAATACAGTCTCGACACGACGTCGTGTCTGGTTCCACTTAACCGCTTTTTAAAGCTCCTCTTCTCCGAGGATGCAAGATCGACATCTTGATCGTATCACTCAAGTGTCTCTCTTCGGATAGAGGGTGCTTCAACTAGATAAATCTCCGACTTCCAACTTGGATTTCTTGGGAATTCCAATTCTTAACAATTATCTTAACTTGGATATCAATCTGTGGATCTTCATTCGTGCGCAACGGGGGCGTATTATCGAACACGCTATTATATACGTTTGATTATTCCGGCTCCGATCCGTTCCCTCGCCAGTTCTCCCATCTAACGAGCAACCCACCTTCCCGTCGCTCTTCGTTATTCGCTTCTTCTTACCAAGACCCGAAATCGATGTACGTGGTCGAGATCGTCGAGCACCTAGTGAACCGCTCTCTGACGCCGCTCGCTCTCTCCTCGCTCTCCAACCGACGACCACTCCGGACGATTGACCATAACGAGAGACGGTTCTCCGTCTACTCCAGGCGCGCCTTGTAGCTGGTCTTCCAGATCTCGGCGAACGTCACGGCACTGTGGAACCTATGGAAGATGCACAGCGGCAGGGTGACCCTCTGCACGATCGCCCAGGCGAGGAAGCCGTAGAAGTCGAGCTGCACCGGGTTGGCGATGACCTTCTGCGTCTCGAACGTGTAAATCACCCACATGGTCACGTTGCAGATCAGCAGGAACGTGACGACCTGCCTGCCGGGCTTGCTGCGGTCGTGCTCCGGCAAGTGGACTCTCCTGCGCGACACGTCGGCGATGAAGAGCATCTGGAGGACCACCTGGGCGACCGATAACAGTCCCGTGACCATCACGAGCAAATTCGGCTCGTGCGTGAACGCCGCTAAGGAGCCGGCGATCACGCTGAAGACCGCGTAGACGAAAAGGCCGAAGGCAGACACGCGCAGCAGGATGTCGTTCAGGTCGCTCTGCTCCTCGGCCTTGAACTTGAGGCTCTGCACACGGATGAAGCCGACGATGATGGCGACGATGGAGAGCGCCATCAGGACGCAGTGGGACACGTCGGCGAGATAAATCGCGAGCAGGCCCAGCTCCGGGTGATGGATCAGCACGAAGAAGAGGATCAGGCATATCAAGGAACCCACCAGCAGCAGCAGCCCGAAGAAGAGACCCTTGCTGGCTCCTACGCAATCGACTCTAGCGTGACCTGATAATCATTTTTTTTTCTCTCGTTACGATAAAACTCAATACTGAAGCGAAAAGGACTATCGCTGTTTATCTCTTAATTGAAAGGAATTATATTGGAATGATGCAAAAGATTGCTGCGTTCCTCCATTCTTCGCTCAGATATTCCAGAATTTCCACGAGTTCAAGATCGGTAATAAAAGAGCAATGGAAGGCAAGTAAGTGTCAAAACGCAAATGTTGCAGCGAGTAATTTAACGTCGCGAACATCGTATAAATTTCTTTAATCTTTTTAAATCCTTGAAATTAAAAACAACGTTAAATTAAGAAAAATCAGTCTGTCGTAGAATCCTCTTCAACCGGACGGTGATAAAAAATACATACAATCGCAAGGGCGAAAGGGTCGTTTATTTCTATCTCGCTGGCGTTTCTAAACTGTCGTCATCGTGTATTCGAAATGAAAAAGAAACGGCGAGAAGATCGAGCGGAAAATGTGAAATACCTGCATGAGCGAGAGCGACGGCTCTTCGGGACAGCATAGCTTCCAGGCGACGTTCGAGGTCCGCCTCGGCCTGGTGAGGCCAACGCGGGTGCCGGCCGATGTGCTTCCACATGACGTAAATCACCGCGGCTCCGATCAGACTGTACTCGATTATAAACGGGAACAGATACGGCGCGGCGTCCTGGACGATGGTGCCCATGATGTTGACACGTCCGCAAGAGTTCGACACCGTGCCGTCCTCCGTCAAGGCTTCCGCGTAGATGCCCAAATTCGGGCTCCAGAATTCGCTGCTATTCGTCAGATTGCTCACGTCGAAGGTTTGCGGAACCTGAGGAAAGACGCGCTTTAATTATCACGCTCACCTTCGCTGCCACAAGAACGTTCAATGAGTAGCGCGGAGTGCTATTGTGCCGCGATTGCAAGGGTGAATCTTTAACTTAAACCGTAGAATGAATTCTTCATTCGCACGGATGAATGTTTCAGTTGATTAAAGTGAACTTGTTCCTCCGACGGTGGGGCGTATCGAAAGCGCTCTTCGATTTCGTATCGGAAACGTTTGATCGACAATTCCGAGCGAAAGGATTCGCTTTGCGCGAGTGAAAAGTCACGGTGAATTCGACTTGGAGCTGTCACTCCACTTCTCAAGTGGAATTTCGAGGGAATTTCAAGATCGGTCTTTCGTTAAAAACAAGTATTCTTTCAGATCTGTCCTCGGCAGCCGAGCGATGACTTTGATTTTACACAGCGGAGCGGAAAAGGCGCTATCTACGTGTATTAACGGCCCGTACTTGGTTATCCGTGTCAGCCTGCGGCGCGTTCATCAGCTCCATAATGAGCGACGAGAAAGTGCTGGTCGACGGCATGGCGGTGGTTGTCGTGGTGGTGGTTGTAGTCGGGATAGTAGTTATCCTCTCGGTGGTCGTGCTGGTGGTGGTGGTGGTGGTCGGTGTGAACGTGGTCAGTAGAGTGGAGAGGGTCGTGCTGGCCGTCAGATTGGGCAACGTGAAGGTGGTGGTCGACGGCGTCGTCGTCGTCGACGAGGTCGTCCAAGCGCTCGTGGAGGCCGGCGTGATGACCGCGTCCTCGATCGATCTCGCCGTTGTTCTCATCACGCGACCCAGAGCAGCCACGGTCGTTCGGCTGATGCCCGGCCCGATGGTCGTCAATCTCGAGGAGGCGGTGAGTGGCGCCTCTCGTAATTGCGCCATATCGCGCGGCTCGGTGCCCAATATCGCCCCGGCGTTTCGCATCGAGTGCTGCTTAATGCTCTCTGCAAATTCGAGGCATTTCGGATATTCTGCTATTCTAGATATTGCCCGGGAACACTCCCGAGGTCTTTCAGAGATTATCCCGGGGATCACCGGAATATCTAGGTTTATGACTGACAATGTTATCGCGAACATCGAGCGGCTATGCTTTCGGGCGATAACGCGATTTCGTGTCGCTTGTGACGATTGAGCTTCTTCAAAACAGATCTCGCTTACCGAGGATCCCCGCCTGAACCTGACCCAGTTTTTTGTGATACTGAGTGATCTCCTTGAGACTCTCCAGAACCAGAGTGCGTATCCATACGCAGAGATTAGTGGCGACCACGTGCATCAGACCGAAACGGGCGATGACTTTGAAGCGGTGGATGTTCAACTGCGAAGAGATATCGTGAGGATTTACACCGAAGCCGAAGCTCGCTCTGTTTTCCTCTCGCGATTCAGATACGTACTCGGGAGTTCATGAAGATGAAGTACATCTGCATGAAGGTAAAGATCATCTGCAGCACCGGGTTGACGCCCTGCAGTATCTGATAGCAGGGTGATGTGGGCGGCACCTCGAAGAACGCGCCGAATTCCAAACCGTTGTACACCATGGTACCCAGTCCGAAGGCTGACACAGATCGTGCAAAACGTACGGTTAGTCCGTCACGCGTTATTTACGAGCAGCTTTAGAGAATTTGCGCTTCGACGAGAAGCGTCGGACTCACCTATCGCGCCGATTCGGAGGAAGAAGCTCCCGTGGCTGTGGTCGTTCTGCGAAGTTTTCCGCTTTCGCAGGGCCCGCGTGGCCACGCCGGCCTCGACATCGGCTGCGTCCTGTCGAAACGCGACCTCCTTCATGACAATGTCATTGAAATTTGATAGCGGCGGAAGCTTAATTTTTCTTAACATTCGAATCGATGTGTTTCCTCTCTTTTTCTTTTTTTCTCTTTTCTTTTAGTTATTTCACGTCGGAAAACTTGACACACGACGAATATAAATCTTCGTTAAGATTAATCGCGCTAATGAAGAACGACCGTTGTTGCCGGCGTTGATCCGACTTAAGGAAATTTACGCGAGGACGTTGTGGAACGTTTCGTTGGCATACAATACGAACGGCCAGCAGCCATCGGCCCGATTACGTCAGCGTCAAGAGTATCCGCGTAACCTGAGTGTCGCGCGCTAACGAAAATACATTTCATGGGAAACATGCCACTGCCGTAGCCGTGAAACCCGCTCGGAACGAATTTGGCAACCTGTTGCGGTGACTCATTGTCGCGTATACTTCGGACGGAATGGACTCTTAGGAACAATCTTCCGATTTTTCATTTCAACCGAAAGCGGTTCCTTAATGCGAAAGATCGTAAAATTAACGCGCGCGGTATTCTCTAAGTTTCTTCGAGTGAAATCTCACTTGAAACGAATGAAATCTTCTTCTTTGACTCGTAAGAACCAGAAATTCTCTTTCCCTCCGTCAAAACGCGCCTAGCTGTGTCACGTCACCGTTGACTCGACTAATCCTTTTCTTTCCGCGCGATCTCTCCTTCCGACGTTTGCAAAGAAACTCAAAGGACCTGGGTTTCCTTCTTGTTCTTCGGGGGCTTTTGATCCTTCTCCTTTTTGTCCTTCTTCTTGAGCTTATCCTTGGGTTCTTTAGGCACCCAGCCTGCCTTGGGCGGCCTCGGCGGCGGAGGCGGCGTGTCGCTGCCTCTGGCGCAGCAGGCGCTTTCTTGCAGGAGGAAGCAGAAAACGTACAACAGGAACAGGATACTCATGCCGTACAGGTACGTGAAGAAGCCCTCGTAGTAGTAGAGCGGCAGCTTGTGCGTTACCACTTCGCTTATCACGTAGGCGATGCACACGACCACGAGGAGCTTTGCGTAGATGAAGCTCATGATGATGAAGAGCGACGTTCTGAAAGAAAAGGTCCGCAATGAGAGAAATCCCACTGTCGAAACTTTTTGCCTCAACTCGTATCTTCTTTTATAGCAACAGAAAGAAATTATAAATATACTAATTAGAAGGGAAAATGCTTCTCCTGCCTATAATTATTTCAAATACCAAAAATTTCGTTCTCGGTCCGAGTTTGCCGTGTAATCGCGATTTAATTTGTCGGTTTCGTAATGATAAGTAGGAAATATGACGCCAACTCGGGCAGAACAAAGACATGCAGAACGAAACGAAATAGAGTGTCGCTTCAGACATCTCTCGAAGACGTCCCTCAGACATTTTTTGCTATCCGAGACGTCAATCTGCGCGCGTGCGACACGATAAGGATCGACAGTTTCGGGCGAAAATTTCGTTCGAGCAATCGCGTGTCGAAAGCACGTGTGTTCGAGTAACAACCGTTCCTCACCGTCTCCTCTGAATAATTTGCACCCTGCTACCCCGTTGCGGTAGCATGTTCTTTCTGCTCGTGTTCCTGTTGACGAACGGCACAACCTCAACCTCCATGACGATCGTTACCGGAAGCGTCGCACGCTGAAATAACTATCAGTGTCCTCGAGACGTTCCGCTGTCTTTTTTTTTAAACGATTATCTGTACATTTGTTAATTCTTTAATCCTGTATTTCGCGTACGTGAGTTTATTCATGACCAGTCTTCCTTCGCGTCACTGTTATAAATTTTACTTTTATTTATCGATCACATCAATTAATCCACGGTTTATTGATTTATTCATTATTTATTAACGCCCGGCGATTTGCATGTAACCTAGATCGCGTCCTACTTCGATTATTAACGAACGACGACTGTTGCGCCCGACTGATCGCAGTCGACCCGCGCGCGCGAACCGAGCGTGCTATTTCTATTCTAGTCTTTCGGTTATTATGACGATGTTCGAACTCATCGAATTTTCATTGTTTTCATCGAATATAATTCCGTCCTCGATATTCCCACATATCCCGCGCAATATGTATTACACTCGCGTGCGCTTTTACGCCGCCGGTCGACCGCCGATTGTTTATAATAAACCCCGACCGAGTTTCGTTCCGACTCGAATTGTTCGCGATAGCTGTTTAATCTATTATCCAAATTTATTGCCCAAATTAAGTCCCCTTAATTAAATTGGGACTGCGCGATTAAATTGAATTGAAATAACGAAGTAATTAGTCCCGACGTGAAATTAAAGTCAACTTGAGCGCAGAGATTCGAATTGACGCGTCACTCGCGCCATCGCAACTCGCTCTCGACGAGAAATCGAACGGATTCACTCGGTGTCGGCTCACTGACTGAACGTATCTCGTTCATTCATTCGTAAGACGGAAAATAATTCACAATCATCACGGTATTTATTCCAGAGACGAGCATTATTTTTTACGTAGGCAACATTTTGCGGAAGTTATCATTTCGTTAAAAGCTTCGGTTGGCGAGCACTGCTTGACTACGGAGACGAGAATTGTCTTAAGCCGACGACGAATTTTACGGACGCTTTACGGATTTCACGGGGTATTACGATTTCGTTCATTTCGGCCGAGCACTACTGTTTGATCTTGGGACGAGCGGCGCAACCGCTACTCGAAATGCGATTACAAAGCGGTCGATCTTCGATAACAGTTGACTTGGTGCATTCGCTTTTAATCGACGAGCATGACTGCCGTTCGAACATCTCGGCCGAAGTTATCCGCCTCTCATCCTCATCACGCTCTTTTTCTCGCTTAAAGGTTAGGCGGTGCAATCGATAGTCTATATATATATATATATGGACATACATGTGTACACACACACACACACACATAATGCCGGTCGCAAACTCGACGCGATCTCGCCGGGGAATCAATCGCGCGGGAAATGAGGTTTTTCCACGGGGGAAACGGGGCCGCGCGCGCAGCATAGGCAGCGGAGCGCCGGCGATGCGCCGCGCGATGCAATTGCACCGGCTCGTTGCAGCGACGCCCGCGCGCCGCTGCAGCCGTCGCGCGACGACACGTATGCGGTGCGTCTACGCCGGGAAGAGCTTAGCCGCCCTTTGTCAACGTGGCATTTCAGGGGTTGGGGCGCAGACTTTATTGTGTACCCCGCACGAGCCTGTGTACGCGGTACACTCGCGTTAGGTATTTTTTTTCCTTTTTCGCTGCCGGAGCTGCGTCGTGTCGCGGAGTGAGCGACGCGATACAAGACAAAGGCGGTGATATTTCCCGCCTCGCGGCCGGTGCACGGTCGTTTTTATTTAAAGCGCGCCTGCCTCCTGTGTTTATCCGCGATCGATCGGATACAGGTCGGCTCTGGGGAATCACCAGACCTGCGTCCTTTAATCGCGGCTCCCCTCTCGATCACCCCGAAGACGAGAATATCGAGGAGGACTGGTTATTTATTGCGTCGCCGCGTTCCTCGTGTGTCGGGCGAGAAATCGATTATAAATCGGCCGACGAACTTCCCGCTGCGGGGTGCCGGCACGAAATGAATCCCTCGTTCGTTCGGAACGGCGCGTAAATTTATTTCAGACGAGTCAGCGCTTATCAATCGCAGGGAGCGAATGCAGCTCCCTCGATATTAATTAGCTACACGGAGCTGTGCAACTATCCGTGCTCCTAATTGGATCGATCGAGCGGCCTTTGCAACTATTGTTCGCCACAATTGGGCTGGTAGTACAGGCAACGACGTTTCTATGACGATTAATAAGTCTCTCCGTCTTGGATATCACTCGTGAGGCGTGTGTGTCGGTCTATTCTCGCTTCGTTAGGCGGATTTCTAACGTCGTTCGTCCCACCACCGTCGACCTCTCCCGCGAGCTATCGAGAATCCTGTTAAGCTGATATCCGTATATACCTTGGGAGAAAAAGAGCCGGTGTCCTTCCAAGTCTCGGAGAGACTCCTGTTACTTCGGGATCTTGGGAGATCCCAAAAATTTCACAACACTGGGAATTGGAGAGAAAAACCTGTTTCTTCCTTCCCTTCCTCCCCCGATGTGTCATGCTGAGAAATGAGTTCGTTTGGGTCTACCTGACGCTAATGGTCAGACGCGTTTTCATCGGAGGAAACCAAATTTCTCGTCCTCACGAGAGCAAATTCAATTCCGATAAGTGGATATTCTGTTTCCTTCGACGAGAACGGGGCGTTTGGTTGCCCGCCGTCAAGTAGATTCAATCGGATTCATTTTTCAGCGCATTACATTATTGTCAGAGTTCTTCCACGATGACAAACAATACGAAGATAATGGGTGGTCATCTCGTGTCGGCGAGAAACCGAATTTCGCACACGGCCATTCCGTACACGCGGTCCTCTTAACCTCGTGACACGCTCAAACGCTCGCGGTTTTCGTCCGAAGAAGAGTGATATCGCGGCGACAGCTGCTCCGGTATCGCTAAAAGTATCGCGATGATCGAAAACAAGCGGCAGCAACATCGGGGAAAATAGTGTTTTCCGCTTACGCGACAAAGATGCGGCATGTGTTCCAGCCGGCCGTTTTCCCGCGAACAAGGAGAGAACGAGAAAATGGTTACGGTAACGTGGACGTGGAACGGTCCAGACCGGCTGGTCGATATCTCCAAGTACCTACTTTCGGCGGCGGTGCTCCTCCCTGTTTCCTCGCCCTCTTATGGGTTTAACCTCGCCCCGTCTTTGTTCCACGGGCATCCCCCCTCACGAGACTACTGCGGAAATCGCGTTTCGGGGGGAACGCTTAAATCGCTCGCTCGTATATCCTCGATCGGACGCATCGAGCGAACGACAAATATAATTAGCTGGCATATCAAAAGGGCTGATTTGAAAATGACGTAGTGAACTATGCCCGAAATGTCACCGTGGCGGTCAACGTGTGTTCAATAATTCGCAATCAACGAGAAGAAAACAAGCGCCAATGTGAGAGCGGTTGTGCGACCTATTCGATTGTAAAAATAAATTCAAACGGAGAGAGTGGGGCGCCGAACGGACGCCCGCGGAAGCTTGCCCGAACGTTTTCAGTTCGTCATTCCGATCCTCGTCGGTCGCGAAAAATCAAGAAACGAAAGATTGATATGTTATCGCAGATTTTCTTTTCACTATGATCATACACATGCGGGAATGCAGTTAAATAGTCGTTTAATCGCCGTTGAACAAATGTTACTGTACATATCGAAATAGCAGATTCAATTCCCAGTCTCGGAGGTTACTCCTCCCAATTTTCGACGCAACATCGATATGTGGAAGCGCGGGATACTTTTCGTATTTTTACGCTCTTACGCGCGCTCTTCTTCCCTTCCTCTCCTATCGCGAGCGGATAAAGCCAGGCGATCAGAGTCGAAAAGTTCGCTCTTTGACTCATCAAGAGACATATAGCTCATCATACAACGTCTATCCTATTCTTTGCCTTCGTTCGTGACGGCAAACGAGAGCAACCGTTCGACCGGTAGTTTCACGATTGGCGATAACCGTGTTTGCATCGATTGACGCTACACGGAATTGACTTCTCTTCGTCGTGACAGTCGTCATCGTCGGAGGGATTTCTCTTCATTTCAACGAGCGTTCACCGCGTTCATCACGTACGTCCCAAAGTCGTCTCGAGCCCCGTTTTAAACCGAGCAATCGTTTATCCCGCGACACGACACACACAAGGTTTCCGTCGAGCACCGTCGACTCCTCGAATCACGCGCGCGCGCACGTTCGTCTCCCGTTGGAACAGAATAGCCTGGGGGCTCTAATTTCTGCGGATTAATTAAATTTCGCGCGGCAATTGCGCCCGCGAGAGAGGAAGAGAGCGAGATGGATAGGCGGCAGCGCGGAGAAGCGGTCGTTTTGCGACGGATACGACACGCAGACTGCCGACGGTCTCACCCCGGCTCGCGAGAGACCGTGTTAATGCAATTGCGACTGCGACTGTGTGCCATTCCGGAGACATCCATTCCGCTTCGTCGCATGCGGCCGCACGTTTGTCGTCAAATCAATATTAGTCAATTGAAAAAGTAGCGCGCGAACTGTCCGATTTCCATCCACGGGCTTCTATAGCTTCTGTGTCAACGCCTGCGGGGAGGGGGGAGGGGAGTCGCCCAGACCCAACCTAGAGGTTCGACGGAGTTTCGAGCGTTGCGTAAACAAGCGCACGGCATATTGCCTCGCTCGCGAGAGTTTTCATTCGTTTTAATCCGACGGCTTCTTTTTTTATTATTATTATTGTTCCTCTCATCACGCGCGGAATTAAACCGTCGATCTCGCCGAAAAGCGGAGATGACGTTTTGTCGCGCTCGGCCGCGCGGCTGCCTGCATCTTCGATGTACGTGACACGAGCGTCACGTTGGCTCGTCAAGCCGCTGGGTTCCCGCGGGTTAACGAACTATGTCGTAAATAGAAGCGCCAAACGAAACTCGACTATCTCGTTTCCATTTCGGGCCCCTGTTACTATTTCCTCGCGAGCCGGATGTTCGATGCAGCGCGAGAGTAACGTGGACGCGTTTCAGCCTTACGAAGCGTAAGAGTAAACGTTTGCCTTTAAACGCGGGCCCGAGATACATTTTCGCCGGAAAGCTCGACGAGAAAAATCACGCTCGACCTGACTTCGTCCTGCCGGAAAAGGATTCGTCGGATTACGCGTCCCGGCGATCCGCCTCTCGCTGGCCCAGTGTATCGCACGCAACGCTTCTGTTTTGAATAATATTAAGTCGGTGAGAAAGGTTCGTCGCGTTTGCCGAATAAGAAGGAAATCCAATCCAATTTCGAAAGAATCATTTTTACGAATAATATGAACAGCGTCGACTCGGTATTTGCCAGAACGTCTAATGAAGACTCTCCACTTTCCTTTTAACACCCGAATTTTCCGCGAGGGTTTAAACGGAGAAATGACAAACTTCTGCACTAACCTGATGAAACGAAAGTAACGAATAGTTTGTTCGCGAAAGAGGTGAATAAACTGTTATTTTCACGCGTACGTTCGCACGGAAAGACACCCGGCGTTTCGGGTGGAATTTCTGAGTTCTCGGGGATGAAAGACCAGCGAACTACGGGAGGTGCTACGTTCGCGAGCGAGGGTGGTTTGTAAATTACGATCTCCCCCTACGCCGGCTCCCACGTCTCTACGGCGTGCGTCTTACTTTTTCGCAGGGGTCGATCGCACGTTCTTCAGTTCCATCTCTTTGTTCGCGGCGTTGTTCTTCTCGGCGTTGTCCTGTGCATTCGGCGGCGAGTTTTGCGGGTTCAGAGGCCTGGTGACCGGAAGCGTCGCCGTATTGTCGCCAGCGGCGGCCGCCTCCACCTCCACGGTGGCGACCTTACAGTCACCACCACCCACCATCGTGGATTCGGCCTCGTCTCGCGAGTTCCTGAACGATCGTCAAAAGATGTACACTCAACGATCCCGTGTTAAATCGATCGAGTTCCCCCTGCGAACGAGCTCAAGTGCCCCTAAGCGCGCGTTGCACGGTATTTCGGAGCGTTGGTGCCCATGCCGCCATTTTGGTGCACACCTTCATCGTAATAAGGCCAATAGCGCAATGCCAATGGAAATTGGATTTTATTCGACTGGATCAGAGGGGAGGGGAGGGCTACAACGTACGGAGAGATTCTAACACGGGTGAAACTCTCGAGCGGTCTCAATCGGTCGCCGACAATTATCCGTACGACGTCGAGTTATTGTTTCCGTCGGACGTGATTGTTAATCGATACTAGTGTTTTTTTTCTCCTCCAGTGTTTGATATTAGTAAAACTCTCGTCTGGAACACGAGA